AACTTGTAAAACGGAACAAGTGAAGCAGCGAAGGTGAAAGCCCCCCCCCCGTCCTGAGTTTTAGTTCACAACTAAGACTACAGTTGACTGGCAATACAAGAAGAAGCATGAATACCAAGAAGATTGTGAGAATCCACATAAGAAGAACAGCACCGTTTCCGAGAATCGCGAGAGAATTGTTCAGCTGAAAAGGACAGAAGCAAGTAATGGGGAGGCGGCAAAAACACCACCTTAATGAAAAGCTTTTAAGCAGAAGGAAATGATGTGACCGCTGAGATTCACTTAAAAGACGTTGGTGGCCATGGAAATCGGATCGGAATGCATTCGGTTGTGGGGACAAAGATGGGACGAATCTGATCGGGCCTCCCAAGTGTATTCAAATTTCACAATGACAGCGAAATGGGAAGACATGACACGCTGCTTCACAAATGAATCGTCGCGCAAAATGAACTCGTGGGGGATTTTCCAGGAAAAAACCCTCGACAACTGAACGAAAAGAGTGCTAGAAACTGAAAAAACCGTTCCATGAAAATGACATTTTGAGAGAGGAAAAAAGAAAACCCCTCAGCGTAAATAAACAAATATCAAAGACGAGCAGGTTCAGAAAAGATTCACCCTGCTTTGCCGTACCTAGACAGCACGTCTCGTGTTCCCATATCAACACTTGAAACTCAATTTTGTAACCCATACCTTCTATCTACCCATAGAAAAAATTGCCGAAAATTGCCCTGTTGTAAATAACCCCAGTGTTTAGAACACTTCGAAAAATGCCCTCACCTTCCAAGATCTGAATCTTCCTGAAAATATTCGTACATTCCAACTGATCACGTAGATGTCGTACAATTTTCGCCGGACTCTCACCGCAACTTCCTGTTGATATCCTAAAAGCAAGGGATGGGGTCTTCGAGAAGCTTCAAGCCAAAAATTTATGACCCTGGGTTAGAATGGATACGGATAATGCCGTGCGGACTACTAGCAGATGGATGCCAGATGGGACAGATGACGGGCAGAACGGTTGGAATGACGGATTTCTTAGTGCTGTAACGCTTCCTCTGGCCCTTTTGAGAGAATGTGGTTCCA